ACTGCTTTTTACCTTATTTACTAAAACATCCTCAAACCTCAGGGTGGGTTACAGGATGAAGTGGGGGGCTGGCATAGGCTCGGATTTGGGGGTGGGTGAGGAGATGTTTGGCAGTTGAAAAAAAAGAAAGGGCACTTGCCTAGGGCACAGAGGCGAATCAACCCACCTCCACTAAGAAAAATCATACATAAGGGGGCAAATGAAACATTAGAAAGTGTGAATCTGGAAGACATGCACGCAAGTCCCAGCTGACAAACAAAACAAGCTGTGAAAGAAAGAGATGAAGAGGATACGGCGGGGTGAAAAAGGCAGGAAGCTTCCTCTCTGTTCAGAGAAAGCGTGTAGGCTTCAGAACCTACAGAAACACGAATAGATGGCCGCAAGCAATCGAGTATGCTAATCGTTCACAACTAAGAGTCAAACTTTGAGTGGGTCAGGATCTTTACCTTCCACATACAAGCATACAGTCATCTTGTTATCTTTACTATGCATTTGCATTGTAAATGAATAGCAATTTCTGCATGAATAAATCTTTTAGAGAGTGCAAATATAACTGTTTTGTTCCTCAGTTTGTGGCTTAAAATGCACACAGGGAAGAACAGGAAAAAGATGGGTATGTTCTGCAAATCTGCACATGCTCTCAACAATAGCGGAGAGGTAAAGAAATAGAGCGGGAGTGAGAAAGAGAGTGATACCGAGGGAATAAACATTGACTTCCTTTGAACATGTTCCTGCTTTATATTTCCCTCAGCTGGGGGAGTCTAGGGACCTGAGCTGGATCATTCTGGACTTGCTGATTCACTCAGCTTCTGTACATACTGACATGCTGCTTTTATATTGGACTTACAGTGACCCAAATTAGTCCAAACCTGTCTGTGGCTCTCTGGGATGGGTCAACTGAGCTACCCGGCTACACTCAGCCCAGGCACAATGTAAGTGTCATGTTTTATTTATCACATGTGAATGTGGTTGGGTGGGGTCTCTGCTCATGGGCAATATGGTTGCTGCCCGCTTCAGCCAAGCCCTGGCAAACAAAACAAAGACACACACACACACACACAATAATTGGGATTGAATGGAGAAAACAAAAGAAAGTATGCAGTTGCATTGCAGATATTCAGTTTATTTTAAGATTATTGCCTGTTTGAAAATTAGTTTCAGTGATTTCAGAGATAACTTTCAAAACATTGGAGGCCGTTCAGCCTTTATCTTTACATTTATGTATTAAGCGGATGTCCTTATCCAAAGCGCCTTACACCTATGAACAGTAGGCTACCCAAAGACTGGATTGGGGTTTGGTGCCTTGCTCAGGGGAATTTGGATTCCAAGTCAAACTCTCAAACCATTAGACTATGGCTGCCTCTTATTTGTTTGACATGAGAACTCCTCTGACAGATGCTTATTCAGGAGTATGATGGAGGTCTGTATAGTGGTCTTAGGCTATTGTGATTTGTCATTGTTTAAAGCTTGGTCAGATCACACAATTTTGTCATGATTTTGGCACAATTTCCTTGACGTAGGATGACGTGGGGAGTCGTAAACGACAAATGGGCGTCGTGACACAATATTCAATCGACAACCGATACCTTGTCTGCGACGCCTCTTTATATCATTGCAGAAAGTCTGGCATGTTAATGTTTTTTTTTTCAATCTTCCCGACGAAAAATCATGAAAACTACTTTCTCTAAAATATTTAAGTGTTTCAAACTATTTTATTTGACAGACTGGAACAAATATGCAGACATCTGCATTCTCACAAGGAGTTTCTGAGTTCTTTTAGCCTTCCAACAGAGTTTGTTCTTCCGAGATAATCTGGAAACACGTTTAGTGCTGCAAATACACCGTAAAAGCACATTGAATAGGTTTTGTATATTCAAATTACTTGATAAAACTAATTAAATTGAAACTCAATGGCAATGGAAGATTTTGTCATTAAAAATGAAAACAGTTTGGTGCGAGTTTCTCTGAAACTATGAATATTTTACTTCAATTTTATTTAGGCTAGATCTTATTTCATTTAACAAACCAGTTTGTGCTTTGACACTGAAGCTCATAGCAGACTTGATTTGAAGCACATCATCTCAGATGTAATTCATTATTCTTTTTTATCTTTTACTAGATATCTGACTAACAAAAATACATTAAGATACAAATTAAACCAAACGAAGTTCATTTCAAAAAGATGTTTTTTTTTTTTTTAAGAAAAATATACGAATTATTTTTTGTTTGTGCCCATCCACTACTCAACTGTGCAGTCATGATTTGTTTTGCTCCGTAAAATAAGTATTAAAATAATACTTCACTGTGATTGTTGTATCACAAACCTCTGTCATATTTTTGCTAATTATTTTAATATGTCATTATTTTGTCTTGAGCATCTGATATTTCTTTGGTGCTAAATATGCCTTCATTTTCTGTCTCACTCGTGGCAAGTGCAGGCATAGTGTTTAATAAGCAAACTATGGCTGGAAAATATACATTTAGATTTAAAAGGAAATATCCTAATTTAAAAAAACAAAAATATATGTTTGATCCCATCAATGCCATAACGAATGGCCTTAAATAATGTATTCTAGTTGTCAGCAAGCATAAGTGTTTGAGATAAATATAACGTAAAAAAAAAAAAAACAAAACATTAAAATTAATAAGATAAGAAATATTGTAAAGCAATAAGCAAAACTTGTGACTGCTTTGGGAAATAACGCTCGTTGTAGACATCACGGGATGACTGATTCTTGAATGAAGGAACGTGTTGTCTGACACATTTGTTACCTAAAGTCAAGATTTTATCAAGACAAAAATGCAAAATCTGATATAGTGACAAAATCTTGTTATCTGACTGGGGATTTAGTTATATCTACAGGCAATAATTGTTCACAGACATCAGTTATTTACTCAAGAGCAAATAGATTTGACTGCATAAAAACTTGGCAATCATTCCTTGGACTGATTGACTTGGCATCTTTATACGGATGTTTGTTATCTATTATTGTTCAAGAAAAAAAATAAAATCGCATTTGTTATAAATTTCAGTAATATGAAAAAATGCTTTGTAGTAACAAACAATTATATAAATGCAGTATCACACAAGTAGCTCTTTGAAATGATTATGCATCAGCCACTGCTGATATATGCATGCATTACAGCAGTGCTGATATACAGCCATATCACAGAGCTACTTGTGTGATGTTGCTTGTATATATACACTTTATCTTTCTTCTTGTTGTTCTGTAGAACAGATCAGCTAAATTAAACATGGATCAATTTTTTCTCTACTGGAAAACTTAAAAAAAAAAGGATGCAGAGTAAATAGATTTGTACACATTTAAACCTGTTGTTTTTGCTCTACTTTTACTTCAAAGTGTCATTCTCTTGCTCTAGCAAAGTTATTTGTTCGCCATCACAAAACATAATTTGGTCAAACCAATTAAGCCCTTTGAATTGAATTAAGAGAGCTGGAAGATACATCAGCCTTTCCACATAGATTTACTAATGAGCTGAAATGATTTGGCGGTGGAATATTTCCCACTACATTTCACCTTTAATTCAGTAATTGGTGCTGAGATGCATGGGCATGGCGAGGGCATGGCTGGCGTGCTGTGTCCAGTTTGGAGTGCTAAAGTGCATCCCTGCAGCTAGAGTCTCAAACACATGCTGGGGCTTTATGAGTCTTATTAATTATTTAGCATTTAGTATTATTCAGCATTGACTATTAACCACATGCATTACCAAGAAGAGCCTCATACAAATATTGCGCCCACAAGTTACAAGCTAATTACTTCCTGCCCCATGCAAAAATTATTTAATCATTGTTCTGACCTCACTGGCATTTTTATATTGTTTAATGAAGTTAATATACCCAGAAAAATACCCAGCAGGCACATAACATCAAAGGATGTTAATAATAGGTTGTGGTGTCACGGATTCAATGTCTAGCCAGCGTCCAAGTACAATGTTGTTTTGACGTCCGATAATGACATCAAATGATGTTGATATTTGGTTGATTTTAGGTTGTGTTGGAAAGTGACCAAAATCCAACGTTGCGCAAACATCCTAAACCAACGTCAAATACTGAAATTTATTCGTCAGGTATGGCAACCGCAATCCAACATCTGATAGACGTTATAGTGAAAACTTCCACACAACGTCAAGCTGTAACATCATTAGACATTGATATTTCCTTTATTTTAGGTTGTGTGGAAGGTGACCAAGATCCAACGTCAAGCCAACATCTAAAACCAATGTCATATTGACGTCAAAAACTGACATTTATTCGTCAGGTATGGCAACCACAATCCAACATCTGATAAACGTCACATAGTGGTAACGTCCACACAACGTCAAGCTGTAACATCCTTAGATGTAAATATTTGGTTGATTTTAGGTTGGACGTTGGATATTGATGTCGGCCTGACTTTGGATTCTGATGTCACCCCAATTTTTATTTCCAAACAAATTGCAATGTCCTCTGACATTGGGGTACAACATCAATATGACGTTTTGTTGACATACTGTGCCTCCTGGGTAAGTTTAAATGACTTACAGTTTTGCTTCTGAAGAAAACGTGATTGTATTAAAAAATGACTAAAGTCAATGACTAATCAAAAAGAGATTTTGTTCAGTTTGGTCTGTAAACAAGAAGATTTGCAGATTCATTAAAATATCAAGTGTGTGTTCAGCCAGTCCTGTAAACATGAGCTTACATCACACCAGAACAAAGCGTCAATCAATACAAACCTTCAGCCAATCTGAAGGATAGTTACCTTGCATGTGACATGCAGTTGCAGACAACTGTCTCCCCCTATAGTTTATATTCTACCAGCCCCCTAAAACCAATCCTGACCTAATCACCTCAAACATCTGCTATCATACAGCAAGCGCACATCTAGACAGACTTTCAAACAGCAGAAAGGAGAACTGCGAGGGAACAGGGACGTCTGAAGTGTCTCTTACGCACACACGGATTAAACAAAAGCATCAAAAGACACCAGGGGACTTACGTTCTGTCGGGTTTCTGCAGGACACACACGCGAGGAGAGACGGAGAGAGAGTGTGCACCTCCATAAGCTGGACAGTCACTCGCTCAGACTGAAGGACAGTGGTCCACATGCACACTCGCTGTCATACACGCAGCTGCGAGGCAGAGTGTGTGTGTGCGAGCGCAGAGAGAGTCAATGCCACACACACACACACACACCCTTGTCTGGTAAACTCTTGGGAGTTGAGCACACGCGCACACACACCCGGTTAAGCCAGACTGCAGCAGTGGTTCTGACAAAGCCAGGTTGTGGGAGCAGGTTCGGGATGACAGCCAGAGGGGAAGTTGTGTGGTTGAGGTTGATAAGACTGCTCAGCTGTGGCAGACAAAAGGAATAATGTGAGGCTAATTGATCACTTGCTCCCTCTGCGCTTTATTTGTTCCTTAGAAAAACAGACGCGCGTGGCAGGATATGAATCAATACAGTGTGGCGATATATATCGTAGTGGTTAGCCGACACAGACGATTAGATTTCTCTTCCCATTTCCCTTGAGCACCACAGCACTTTAGTATAGTTTATTTTGGACCAGTGACATGGTGACACAGTGGTCAGCACCATCACCTCACAGCAAGAAGATTGCTGGTTTGAGCCCCGGCTGGGCCAGTTGGCGTTTCTTTGTGGAGTTTGCGTGTTCTTCCCGGGTTTGCTTGGGTTTCCTCCGGGTGCTTCGGTTTCCCCCACAATCCATGTGTGAGTGTATGGGTGTTTCCCAGTACTGGGTTGGAGATGGAAGGGCATGCGCTCTGTAAAACATATGATGGATAAGTTGCCAGTTCAATACGCAGTGGTGACCCCTGATTAATAAATGGACTAAGAAAAATAGAAGAAGCAAAAAAAAGGGCTGAAGGAAAATGAATGAATGAATGAATGAATGAATGAATGATATCAACCTTGAGTAATGGTTCTCCATCTTGTCCTCATGACCCCCCACTCTTCAAATGTTGTATGTTTCTCTTACCCCTTTTGTTTCATTTAGACTGTAAAGGGCATGCCAAGTTGACATTGAAAAACATTTTGTCCGGAGTATGAAAAAACATGAATGAATTAATGAATGGTGCAGTGCCAAAGTACAACAAGGCTATGTTTATGCAGGAACGATTTAGATGAAAACAGATAAGTTTTGCCCTTGCAAGGTTTACATTTACATGACAATGTTTTCAAAAGATCCAAGTTAACACATATCTGCAAAAATGGCCAAAAAATATGTATTAAGGTTGTCAGGCCAGTATTTGGCTCTGTCACATTGTTGGTAAACAGTACCTGTAAGAAAGAGATGATGAGCCATCTGCAGCTCAGAAATGTAGCTTTTAGTGCTAGTTCTACCAGCAAAACAATGTCACTTCGCTCATCAAAATCAGTTCCAACTAATAGCCACGAGACACAATGATTACCTAATGTGACAGCACTTATCACAATCAGTTCCAACCATTAGCCACGAAACTCTAGGAATACATTTGGATGCAGATATTGATGCAGACATTCACCCACCATCCTCCCCACCACCACCATGTGGGCCTTGTCCAGGGGGGGAGCTTCATCCCTGCCTTTGTCCTCGGAAGCCATAGCTGGATCTACAAACTTTCAACTTAAGCTATGGAGGGGGTCTTGTTTCGGTAAATCATACTTTTTGTCAAACGATAGTGATTAGATAAATGTAATTCAATATCATATTTATTTTTTGTTTTTTTATATTCATATTTATCTCCCTGGTCTTTTTTGTAGAACTTTTGTGTATTTAGAATTTGTCATGCAAGTAATATGTGTGTTTTCCACTACAGGGTTGTGGTTGGAAGAGCATCTGCTGTGTAAAACAAATGCCGGAATAGTTGAGGTTAATTCCGCTGTGGCAACCCCTGATAAATAAGGGACTAAGTTGGCTGGTTAGTCAATTTGTTGGAATGTGAGGTAATCCTACACTTTGCTTATGAAATCGCAAGCAAACATGAGCAACAATAACAATACCAAGTACTCCGCCATTGTTGTGCATTTGTTCATGCCCAGCAGGCACACAACATCATACGATGTTATTATTAGGTTAGATTTGGGTCATGATGCCAGGTGACCAAAATTCAAGGTCTAGCAAGCGTCTAAGAACAAAGCTATTTGAATGTCCAAAACTGACATCAAATGACGTTTATATTTGGTTGATTTTAGGTTGTTTTGTAAAGTGACTAAAAGTCCAACATTGAGCCAACATCTTAAACCAACATCATATTGATATCAAATACTGACATTTATTCGTATGTTACATTGGGGTACAAAGTCAAACTGACGTCATATTGACGTCCTGTGCGTGCTGGGTGGTTGCCTCAAATCTATACTGCACTGAACACGCACCACGCATGCGCATGATGTCACCAGTTTTATCTATTCTCGTTTGAGGTGTAATACACAGACATGACAACAGTGCCAATTTCAAAAACTTCCACTTTAACCAGTTTCCTTTTTATGCATCCCAAAAACGATGTTTTCCTGTAAACCAACAGTCGTTTAGGTGTACAAAAAAAACTGGCTGAAAACAATATCATGTAAATGTCTCCTAAGGTGTGGCAAACATTCCTAAAAGAAGTTTGTGGTGGCATTATTGGTGATGTTATATTGTTCTGAATTTCAATTTTTGAATTTCAAATAATCTGAGAATTTTAGTAGGAGCATAATGAGTCCAGGTGTGAAATTGTCATTCAGAGCTCACCATGCAGAGATCTGAGAAAGACAGCGAGAGTGAATGCACAATTCTAAACTTTTCCTCATTGTCTCCTGGCTGTTCTTGAGCTGTGAAACACAATAAGCCCATGCTGACAGTTTGAAGACAATCAGACACTCAGTCGATACTTGCGGCATGGGCAGGCGACCAGACTGAGAACGCAGACGGCCCTGGGGGTACTGTCTCGGCACACACTCTTGCACACTTGCTGCGACCCATCCCCCATTTTTCCTGCTGGCTTTTGGGAGCACATGCACGCCTCTGCACAGTCAGATAAGCTGTCCTGAAAGGTCATTAAAGGTCAGCATGGTGCAGAAATCATTTGTGCAGTACGGTATGGGTCATTAGAAGATGCTAGTCCAGGGGTGTCCAATCGTGTTCCTGGAGGGTCACTATCCTGCTGACTTTTCTTGGAAGTTTAACCAGAGTACCTTTCTTACTTTAGACAGGTGTGTTTAATTAGATCCGGAGCTAAACTCTAATGAAAAAGAGTCCTGTGGGAATAGAGTTGGTCAGGTGACAGAATGCTCTATAGACATCATAACTCTGGTTCTGGAGGGCTTGCAAAGGTTAGCCCCATGTCTAATCAAAAACATCCAAACAATCTAGCCTGTGTCTTCATGGTTGCTTAAAAATAACATGCACATGTTTTAAGGTTGAAACTAAACTGCATAACAGTGACGATTAGGGGTGCGAATCTGCACAAACTTCATAATACGATTCGATTAGGATTTTAAGAATCTCTGTCCAAATACATCTTTACAACTTTTCATTTTATAAAATCTGTATATTCAAGGTTGAAAAAAAGCTTACATTTATAACGTTTATTATTTTCAAAAAATAAAACCATTTTTTATTTAATTGTTCATAACCTTTTAACAAGAAATGTATATTCAAGAGTTCACCCTTAGCTGAGGATTGATACTAAAGCATATTTGGCATGTTGTCCCGTAAGAGAGCCCTGAGCTTAAAACATCCTTGAGCCTGGGGCTCCTTCTTGATAGAAGAGTGAGCAGGGAGTTTGAACTAGGGTAGATCTCAAGAACTCCCCCTCTTATAAATGGCAAATTATGAATTGCAATGGAAATAAACTGGTAACTCATATAGTGCCAAACCGGTTTGATCAATTCATCCGTCGGATGTCTTTGGACTGTGGGAGGAAACCCATGGAGAAAGCCATGTGAGAATGGGGAGAACATGTAAACTCTGGACAGAATTGTCGGCTGGCCTGGTAAGGACTTAAACCAGTGACATTTTTGTTATCAGGCAACAATGCTAACCACTGGGCCAACATGCCACCCTGTCTAGAAAGGGAGGAGAAGTAGGGGTGGAAGGTGGGATTCTTTAAATTGAAGATACTGAGATAAGAAATTCTGGTTATTTATGGTTAGTTAGTTAATACATGATCCACCAATCAGTCAATTTCTGATGCTGGACCAGCTATGTTCAATCTAGCCGGATCTCATGAGAAAACGCAAGTATTTTACGTTTTGTCAGTTTAGTGGCTAATTCGTGCAAATTTAAATGAGTTCAGTCGTTCAAAATTGTACTATTTTAAAAAAAGAAAGCATGACACCTAACCCCACTCCTAAACCCAACAGTCATTGGCGGATGAGCAAATCATACTCAATTGTACGAACTAGATCGTACAAATTCATACGAATTGGCCACTAAATCAAAAAAAAAAAAGTTACAAATTGCCGTGTGATTGTGTTGGTTCAATCATAAGTATGCATTCCTCTCTCAAAATTAGTGTATAAATAAACCACATAAATGACAAAAAATGCCCTTTAATGATGAGAAATAGTATACGCTGATCTGTATTTAAAAAAAATAAATGTTAATAATTAAAATAGTAGATAATATAAACACACATTTGACCTCCCGTATAGCGGTTCAGTTTAGTTTTTAGTTTAGCTCCAACCACCTCCAGCTCACATATTATTAATAGTCCATAGTAGTCTTAAACAACTTGATTAGTTAGATCAGCTGTGTTTGATTAGGATTGGAGCAAAACTGTGCAGAGCTTCGGCCCTCCAGGCATTGAGTTTGAGACTTATGTTTTAGAACGAGTGCACATTCTAAATTCTCAAAGTTTAGCCCCACCCCTAGGTTTACACTGACCTTACAAAGGTTTTCGCATTTACTTGAAGCTTCTTATGGTTTTGTGTGAAAGCACACAAAAATGTCCAACATCAATATATAGGTATCTATACAAGTATGTGAATGCATACTCTTCATTAGTTATATTTGATTTCACACATTGATGCATTCAAATTCAGAACTGGCAATGCAAGTATTACCAATTTCAGTCAAGCCACAAGGAACCCATTTTCAGACAAACTCAAAAACCAAGGCTGTTCAATTCAGTTCCTGCAGGGTCATGACATGAAGAGTTTAGTTTCAATCAAACACACCTGCCTGGAATAATCAAGCAATCCTGAAAATCTTGATTAGTTGTTTCTATGATTAATCAGAGTTGAAACTAAGCTCTACAGGTCATGGCCTGAAGAATGGAATTGTACAACCTCAACTGCTGCCTTTTCCTTTTAACAGGTTTAAAGAGAATCTCGCTGAGGAAAAAAAAAAAAAAACATTCACCAAAGTTAGCAACTATTAGTTTCAATAACTATCCGTGTCAATGTTTTACAAGTTTATTCATTAATTTTCCTTCGGCGTAGTCCTTTATTTATCATTGTGGCATATGTTTTACATGGCGGATGCCCTTGCAGCTGCAACCGAGCATGGGGAAACACCCATTCAAACACACACTCATACACTATGGCTAGTTTTGTTTACCCAATTCATGTCTTTGGACTGTGGGGAAACCTGGATCACCTGGAGGAAACCTACATGAACACAGAAAGAACGCGCAAACTCCACACAGAAATGCCCA